TTTTTTTGCTTGTAATTGGATGTAGTCATACATATGGATTAGAAGCTACAGCCAAATCTACCACTGGCTAGCTAATGAGCTTAGCGAGGTGTGTCTGTGATATTAAATGGGTTTCTAGTTTTAGGGCAATGAAAACTAGGTTAGAGTGTACCGACCTGTCCCTCAGAGTGGGTCTCATCTTTAATTTGCATAGCTCTAATACAAGTTAAACAGGTCAGCTGTGTAAAAAAGAGAGAGAACCCCATCCATCTGTCATAAAGGGAGACATTAGCTCTGGAGAACATCACACGCTGTGCATTTTAAATATGCAACTCTGTGTGATGATTTAGTGCCGAGTGGCCGTTTGAGGAACTGCAGTTTCTTTCAGAGGTCGCCAACTGTAGCCAAGGCTGTGTTTCAGTGACTGTGTGCAATTATTATTTTTTTATTACTTTTGATACTTCTGACATTTGTACAACGCCTTGCACTTCTTGGTCTTGTGTCAAAAAGTGTTTCCGCTAAAGGTTTTGTGTGTGGGGCCTTGTGCTGGGATCAGTGAATTTCACTGAGATTTCGAAGCTACACCTAGAGTCAAAGCACATTTTGCACACTGTAATCAGGTTAACTTCCCAACCTGATACCCGTTACATCCACAGATATTGAACAGAGGGGCCTGGGACTGAATCAAATTATTGTTCTAGTCCATCCTTGGTTATTATCTAAGGGGCCAGAGTTTACAGTGTATTTACATTTAAATAAGTGAGGCCTGGCTACATCAAAGGACCCACACTTCAGGTGTGATATTTCCCCCCTGCAGCGAAATTTTGATGATCCCAGGTTTTACTGATGACTTCTAGGAGGACAAAAAACCCCACACAGCCAGAACTCAACAAATTAGAAATGGGAGGTCTGTATTTCATGGTGGACTGCCAGCAGAAAAGAAAGCCTGTGTGTAGTGTATGAAGAGATGCGCTGGCAGTCTACATGCTTCTATTTTCATGAGCACACTGTTTCCCCCCCCCCACAACCTTGCAAACGTGTAACAACAGGCGTGGGTGTTTACCTCTGCACGAGCACGTGCGGCATCTCTTAAATTTGTGAAAGGTTCAAGCAGACCCCTGAACGCTCCGCTTTCTCCTCCCGTATTCTCTGTACATCCCCCACTCTCTCCCCCCTTCCCCTCGCTGCAGTGGTAATTGGGTATGACACGGGATCAACGGGGAGAGAGCGAGGACGCATTTGAATGCGCCGACTGTCGTCTCCCTCACTTCTCCATTCTAACTTGCTGCCTTGCAGCTTCCCAGCCCTTGCTCACCGCTGTTACCGTAGCAACATCTGCGAGACCGCATCTTCTACCCTCCCTCCTCCACCTCCGTGTCATTTCTTTTATTAAGATTGGCCGCTAGTGCCCAAATGTGTGTGTGTGCACGCGCAACACCTCGACTGTGAGGTGCATAGCAGCAGAGCCGTTGTCAGCCTAACTCCTGCTCCAAGCCAATTACCGCAGCCTCAATACAGATTTTAAAGCTACAACTCAGGAGGAATTACCCCGAGGAGGGAAAATGTAGCCACTTGAGTCAAACTTGTTACATTAAGTCAATCAAGTGCATTACTGCACACCTCAGAGCACAAAGGGAACATCCCCAGCTGTACAAGTTGCACCACTGCCATGAAACCGTCCGTACAGCTCTCTTTCCTCTTATTTCCTTTTTCCTGAACATGAAAATGAATTTCTGTTAAATAAAACAGGTGTCAAATTCTGTTTTGCTACCCTGAAATATAAAAATCACATCATGCTTCAACTTATTCAAAAATGCATCTCTTCACACACAGTGAGGTTTCCATAAAGCCCTCAAGCAATCAAAAAGATTTATTTATTTTTTTCCTTTATAAAGATTCAGTAAAGACGAGCGATGCATTCAGATTACAGTGCTACAGGTGCTATCATGCAGTCAAGCAGTTTGACAGCTACAGGGAGGACGGGGCGTTTGGTAGAAAAGAAGAAAAAAAAAAAAAGTAAAAGCAAAGCAGTCCCTCCTAAAAATGCTCCTGATGTGGGTCTACAAGCCTTACCTAAACAGCCTGAAACATGACGACATGCAGGAGGTTTCATTATTTATTAAATGCCCAAACATCTGCATAATTGTGTCTTCTTTTTGTCATCTGTTGTCTCGTGTTAATCACACAACTGTTACCAAACCACTACCAACGCTGGCTGACGTATTGGCTGATATTTTTTTCTTTCAGACACAGGAAACATGCAGAGAGTTTCCAAACATTTATTATTATTTATAAGTGCTTTCTAAGATAATATAAGAATGCAGTTGAAAAATGAACTTTACCAGATTAGTTGTTTAGATTTTCTGCTCGGATCAGCTGGTTTGTTGCGTTCTGAACTCTGGTCCACTCTGGTGGTGATTACTTAGTTTTAATATGAACTCATTTTAATATTAGACAATATATTAGCCAGTGCCGATATAGTTTGTAAATAGCCAATATTGGCTCTAGTTTTAACAACATACATTTATTTGCTACTTTTATGAGAGGAAACATTCCCTATACTGGGATGAAGACTGGAAAAGTGGCAGGCTGTGCGCTGCTATTTCACAACTTCACAGTTAGGACTTGGTACTGGAGGTCACACAGTCTGAAAATCTTCTCTGGGCTCAAGCAAAGTAATGCAGAGCATTTTAGGGACATTTGAAAGCTTCTATTTGTTATTTTGCAGCTCAGTCAGCAATAACACAAAGTTTGATAGCACAGGTAGTACAGATAATACTGAGCATGCCCCGTCACAGCAGAAGAGTAAGTGGTGTGTCTGTATGGCAAAAATAAATTCATTCAGTTTTAATCAAAGAGTCACTCAATAATCAGCTTGTGTTGTGTGATCTGATTTCATACTGCACACATCAGTAGCTTTACAGTACACGTCAGCTCCCTTAATGAGCAGGTGCAGCATGCTCTCTGTGGCAGCTCCTTTTTGCTTTACTGCCTGAAATATATAAAACTGGCTTTCTGTCAAAAAACGAGCACGAGCTGCTACAGAGAGGAACTGTGCACTGCTGACCGAGTCAGTACAAATTAAAAATGCATTGCCCTTAACAGTAAAAGCTAGTGTGTTTGGCTAGCATAATCATTTTATGTGTGGATCTGATTCTACTTTAAGACAGGGAAGAGTACACAGTGGAGTAATAGCAATGAGATAAAAAATAAAACAGTAACCCTGCAAGTATGTGAAGTCTGTATGATGCGAGAGAGGCTGGCCCCACCAACAACAATGAAACCAGGAATTACAATATTTCTATTCCATTCATGTAGCAGCAGGAAAAAATCTTCACAGCAGTTTCTTATTTCTTACGTGACTTGGGTGAAAACGTTTGAAAGTGTCCACTTGTTTCTGTATCTTCTTTAGAAACCTCTGTTTGCATGCCAGCTGATTGGCATTTGGCACGTAAAAACAGCACAGATTAAAAAGCCTTTAGGCTCCTTTTACACAGGCCTAGAGAATCGTTGGCAACCACTTACTGGTAGGGAAGAATTTGTATTCACTGGCAAAAAGTTTCTGGAGGCTGCTAGCTGTTGCTGTAAAATCAACTGCTATAAGCGCATTCATGCAGGCCTGGAGACTGGTCAGCGACAAGTTAGCATGTTTCACACAAACTGTGTGAGGGTTTTGGTGCTACATCCGCTCTGTGAGAACCCAGCGACCACTCGAGACCAGACATCGGTGGGGGATTGCCAACTGGTCTCTAGGCTTGAGAGGCCTTAAAAATCACAATTTGAAAAAAGACAGTAAAAATAGCTGGTAGACTCTTAATTTAAAACAAAGTACATTGACCTACTTTTGCCAAGATTTCTCACTGATCTTTGACGATAAATATCAACATGACTCTCTTCATCTCCACTGTTTTGAGTTATGTTTGGGAGGAAACCTGCTTTTGACATTATTTTTAACCCGTAATGGGGGTTAATGGGTTTTATTTTTCAGTTCACAGTCTCTTAAACTGATTTCAAACACATTTATTAGGAAAAAAAGTCACTAAAAGTCACAGAACAGTTTGTTCAATGGCAGCATTTTATTTTCAAACTGAGCCTGAGTTGAACTGTACCTTCAAAACGACTTAGAAAGGTTTTAATAGATTATCATGGATGGTGCTTCATCTATATAGAATGTCCCAAGGTTCCTTTTTTTGCATTTCTTTAGAGAAATGAATAAACCACTGCAGTGAAATTAAATTCACCCAGCTATTAAAAGTGGAAGCAAGGCAGAATTAGGCACACAAACACACAACTAAAGACACAAAACCGTGAGAGGATATGAATGGTTTAATAAACTCATATAATACATCACAGGTCTGATGAATTAAAATCATGGCCAGGATTACCTGAGCATATTCCTGTGTCATTAAAAAAATACAAATCTATAAAGCTCAAAAGAAAAACAAGTGAATCAGTTCTTCTTTCAATCTGAGATCAAAACAAGGACGGTCCCTGTGCACCTGATTCAGCTCACTTCTTAAATGACTTCCAGTCTTTTTAACCCTTCAAAATTTAGCACAGGTTTGGACGTAACCTGATCTCCACATTCAGCTGATGGAGGAGTGCCCCTGAATGCATCTTTACAAGTCAGATTTTAAGAAACATTTTCCACTCTCATTCAAGTGCTGTCAAAAATGATCTGCCCCCTTCTTGATTTCTTATTTTGTAGCACAGTTACATGCTTCACATCATCAGGCAAATTTTGATATTAGTCAGAGAGTTTAAATGATGTCATTTATTAAGAGTAAAAAGTCATCTAAGCCTGATGATCTGAAACATGTAAATGTGAGAAACGCACCAAAAAAGGGGAATCATGAAGAGTGCAGATACTTTATCACAGCGCTCATAAATGACTGAATTGAAAGTGCACCGCCTCAACCCGTGAGCCTAATATACACACTCAGTTCTTGTTTACTTCTCTGTAGTATGTAGCAGTGCAGAATAATAGTGTAACGGATCACACCGCAGATAAATAGCACAATAAGAAAAAAAATAGCACAAAAAAAAAGGCATGCTAAAAGCAAACCATCTCTTTCATAAAGCAAAACAAGAATGCGACCACAGTGCTGCCATTAGTGCTTAAGTAAAAGCTTGTCGTCATGTAACGGTTTTACCCTTTTCCTCCCACTCTTCATCCGTGGTTGACCAGCAGGTTCTGAGAGAGAAGAAAGAACAGAGAATTAGTCCATCTGCACAGCAGCCACGCCTGCTGACCTTTGAAGGCGTTCTTAGGTGGACGGGGTGTCCGCGTTTTGTTTATTCTCTGCCACCTTTAACTGACCACAGCTGAAAGGTCAGGCGGGTAAGACTAGGGATTACTCTAACAAACTTCAAGAGGTTTATGAGAAAATCTTGACTTGTTTTTGTGGTCCCTCTTTTTAAGTTTCTGATTACAAAATAAAGCTTACAGCCGATCCTAATGGCATTCAACTGTCATCATTTTGTCGGATATTTAAAAAAAAAAAAATTGACGCTACAACATTTAAACAACTGACGAGTGGAGTGACTATCACTGACCATCTCGAATGCTACTTTGAGACTTACAAACTGCAACTAAACGTTGTTGTAGGCCAAGAACACACACACTGTACACACTGTGGACACACATCCAGCCCCATGGAGAAAAACTCCACCTATCAAATTGCTCAGGTAATGCTTTACAAAGAGCCCTGGGCACTGACCCAGCCTCCAACCGCCACAGATCTGAATTCGATTAAGTATCCCACCGGGCCCAAAGGATGCGTTGCCAATGTCCCAGTGCCAGATACTACAGAATCTCCCAAGAGCTGCTGGGTCTATGCCCTGATGGAGTCTTTGTGTGGCATCAAAGGGACGATTTCAGCCAGGTGGTTTTAATGTTGTGGCTGATCAGTACACTGTGTATTTAGTATTTGTATGAGCACAAAACCAAACAGGGATGAAGGTGTCAGTGTCCTGGCCTTCAAACATTCGTCCATCTAAATCAATATGAAGGGAAAAAAAAGGGGTTTAGATCATACAGCTGATGCTTCAAAGCTATAATAAAAAGGTTTTTGGTCACTAGATTCACAAAAAAAAAAAACTTTCAAGAAAAAGTCTCTGTCGTACGAGCATTTTTCTGCTGCAGTTGTTGCAGCTTTCAAACAAAATGACCTCCAAGCTCCAGCATGCGCAGCCTATCAGGCGTACCTTCCTGCTATTTAAAAACAGCTGCATGCAATTGATCCAAGGAGTGCAACCTTCATCCTTCAACCTAAGATCAATGCGGTCCTTGAAACCCTAGCAACAAATCGTCCTGGAAAGAAGACACGTCTGACACCATCATTCCAGCGACCTTGTCTTATGTACCATGAGAGGGGTTCGCTCAGATTGTGAGCTCTCACGTGAAATGGCAACGATCAATTAACACCTTGAATTGCTGGCGCAGTGATTCTAAGAGCGATACCAACAAACTAAACTAATCTCACGCTAATTTGACTTGAGCCCTGACATCATACTGAGCTGTTTCTACAACCTTGGAAGGCAGCTTTTTGAAATGCTAAGGTAATACATTTTACAGAATATATACAGCTATATCGTATAAAACTAATGGACAGATAATTGGTCTCGTATGTGAAGGTCTTTCAGAACTTTTCCTTTGAAAACAGAGACATTACCTAACGAGATGACTCCTAGCTATTATATAAGCTCATTTCCCCAGAAAAGTTCAACACTCGCTGTAAATGGAGGATCAGATATACTATGATTATTTTTCAAGTGCAAATGTGAAGCAATCAAGTACAAGGAAGCACATGTAACGCATTCATAAGACAGCAGCACAAGCTCGTGTGAAATTTTATCGAGCGTTTGCAAAGAGCGCTTTTGTAGCTGACTGAAATTTTCTTTTTTCCAGGTAAATTCTGTGGACAGAGCGTGATTAGTATTCCCCTGGATTTATTGAGGTCACACAAAAAATGGCAACAACTACGCAACGCTGCATGTACAGACAACACAAACTATGACAGAATGTTGTGTTGGAAACAGAAACAGGTGTTTACCTTTGTTTATTTATTTTTTAGCTAAAGGCCCCAAACAGCAACTCTCGCTACATGGATGTTCCCCTAAAAATGAACAGCAATAACTGATCCTCTCATATTTTTCAACTCAAACTGCCCACTAAGCTTAGTTCTATGATCAGAAATCATCTGTTAAAAAAAATCTGTTTTTAACCCAAGGTTCTTTATCGTAAAATGAATCTCTTGCAAATTTGCTTTGGTTTCCAAGTCAAAAAAAAAAATTGATCCAACTCTGCCCCACTTAGCCTCAAAGACTAGACAGCAGCAGGGAGGAGGGTTAGCCCAAGTGGAACGATGCAACGAGCTCAACTGACTGAGAGCTGGGGGCGCATTGACCTGAAGCCGCCTGCTAGACACACTGCGTATATGGATGTGCTATATGTGCATGTGTGTGCTGAGAGCACGTGGTATCTGTTCTAAGCACTGCAGAGTTCACTCCAGCTGTGAAACTCAAACCATTATAACCACAGAGAGACTTACAGAGCAGTGTGATCAATATGACTCCCCTCTTTTGTCCTCTCATCTGATGCCTCTGGTTTAGTCTCCTCATCTCCCATTCCCTTTCAATTCTTCTGTCACTTTCCTCGACTCTTCTATTTCACTGATTTTTTTTGTCCTTCCAGTGTCTCTTCATTCTCCTCTATACACTTTTGCTCACACGAGTAGTTTGTGTTCATTTATAATAATGTAAGCCATGGAGCCGTATCTCCTCTCCTGTTGTTTACCTTAGTGAAGAAGACATCTAATACTGGCTCGTATTGAAAAGACATGAAAAGAGTCTTGACCGTGAAAGAAAACAAGAGTGAGTTGTATACGCAAAATAGAAAAACAGAACAATGGTAGGACACAATTACAATCTGTACATCTAAAATGACAAAGAAAAAGAAAAACCCTTATAAGAGAGACAAGAACTCTAGTTAGAAATGTACAGCATGCTGAACGACACCTTTGCAAACCAGCTAACAAATGAACCTGTATTATGGCTTTAAAACATTGACATGGGATCTTTTACATTCCAGGATCAACTTCACCTGATCATTTTTCTTTTGTACGATTTAAATTCTCAAAGCAGATGGACTCTGTTGTCAGAGTCTTGTGAGTGTTTAAAGCAGGGAGCCAAAATCCACCTGGATTTCGATCCAGCTCACTTGACAGCTTTGGAAAATGTGAAGGAGGGCAAACATTTGGACTTTTACCAGTGTTTCATAACTGTTAAAACATTTCTTCCTGATTGACATTCATTTGTTTTATTTTTTTT